TTGCAGCCTCGACATTTTTGTCTCAAAATTACCTCAAGAATATGTCCTCAACCCTTTGGTCTACAACCACGAGTGAGACTCGTGGTAAGGAATTTGGTAAGTGAGACTCGTGGTAAGGAGTCTGACTCGTGCTTATTGTTTATGGACCAAATTCCTTACCACGAGTCTCATTCGTGGTTGTAGGCCAAAGGGTTAAGAGGAAATTCGGTAGTTGTGAGACACCCTGTATATCATGAGATTTAAAAATTCGAATACTGCAACCCTAATGCTAATTTTTGACATGTATTATCTGGAGTGTCTCGGTGCTAAGCTATGGTGCGAGACACAGACGTGCCTCCTTTACGCGAATCGGCAAGTTGCGTCAGATCGAGGTTATCGGAAACTCAATAAGGGCTGAACCGATCAAGTTCTAAGTGTGCTCAATCGATTGCAACCGCTCAGAATATATAATGAAAGTGTTTTTATTTTTTCTCTATGTACTCTACAAGCGGAGATATCGCGACGCAAAGTTCTGAACTACCACTTTTCATTATTCTATCAACACGGCAATAATTTTTCTTAAAAAATAACACCACGTGTATAGATTTCTTTTGTATTATTTGATTTCGTACAAACAGTTATTAAATAAAAATATATACATATTACGTAAAATATGATAAAATAACAAGAACATTCGGCAAACAAAGCACGAAAAAAAAGTTTATGTCTTTCAAGATGGCGGCATATGATTTGATAAGAATTGTTATCAGCGCTTATCTAGATACGACGCGATAATGCGACGAATGCGCGTAAATCTAGAACACTATTCACGTTGCTCGAAAGCGACAAATATTTACGTAATTCACAGTGAGTAAACTGCACAGGGTATCCTAATCGTTCTCCGAGGCAAGCAGATAGAAATCGTACCTGTCGACAAGTAGAAATTAATTTCTATGTGTTTCCAACGCAGTGAAGCATTCGAATCTAGATAAAGAGACCCCCGTACGACCTTCAGGGTCCACAGCGACCCTTTTGTTAAACGAATTCCTCCCTAGAGTCGCACATATCACTTAAACCCTACAATTGTCAAGGAACCTAGTATACCGTTAGTGTGTGTGCTCTTGTAGACTTATGTAACAATTTAACTTACAATCGTCCATCATTCGATTTAGAAGGAATATAACGCGTATTATTTATCTAGATAAAATTATTTATATTATCGTATTGTGCACCACTTATTAAGGTAAACGGTGCAATCGAGTTGCTCATTGTGGCAATACATTAGTAGATAATACTATAAATAATATGCGTCATATAGCAATATCGACACATATATTTACATGGCGTAAAATTAAAATAAACATCATATGTCGTGCGCACATCGATATATCATTTATTTTATGTTACCAGCATTATACGTGACAATATGTTATGCTTTCTATTTAGCGATGCTATTTTATATGATTTATCGGCAGCGCGTTAAATAATTATATTAAAAAAAGAATTTATCTCTGACGAAATACTGTTACACTCGGCCTATTCAATAATTTACTTTTATTATTCTATTTTGGGAGCATACGATATAAAAATTAAATTTCATAGGAATAAAATGCGTACATATTATTCATTTAACAAAAAATGGGTAAAGTATCTATTGGCATTAATAATTTAATATAAGCTAATTTTTTAAATTATTTTTTTATTACTTTTTTATTTACGTCATGCAAAAACTGAATACGTTACACGAATGATTTACGAGCGTTTCATTCAAAAAATGTGTTGTACTTGATAAATGGATACTATCTGCAACCTTTTTTTAAGGGCCTTTTTGATGAATAATTTATTATTCACCGAGTACTAAGCAACTAGCTAATTGAAAATAAATTCATTTTAGTGTACATAATTCGATTTTTCGGTTTTCAGATTATTCGAATGCATTCGTTCATTATACTGAAATTTCAGCGAGTCTCAGCATATCTAAAGGAAGGAGAAATTCCGTTCTTCGAATCGCGCTCGTTTTACATAAGACGGGTACATATTTTAGCGACATTCACTCGGCAGGGGGTAGATGAAAAAGACTTAGGAGCAGCAATGAGAAAGGTGAAGAATGGCGCAATGTCGCAACGAAGGCTGAGAGAGAGGATTTAGCCCTCTCACATCGAGGAATGCCAGCGAGTTATTTTAGGCCTTCCCAACTTCCTTCCCATTCTACAGAGATGCGTTTACGCGACGTAACAAAATAATGAAGAAGAGCGTCCTTTGCCGCCGCGACAATACTCTCTCGACTTTCCTGACGATGAAAAAAATCTTTTCCCTACAAACATTCCCTTAGTCTCCTATTCCTAAAAGAATACCAGAACTCACACGCTAAAGGAAATACTTTTAAATACGAAATACGATGATGAAGAACGTTGCGACATTTTCTGCGCATAAATACTTTTTCCATTAAAAGGGAACATAGAGTAGAAACATGAGCCCTTGTTCTAGGAGCCTCTTTGTCCTCGTAAACAGACTTTTTAAAGCCGTGCTTATGAAAAAGTTACGGGTTATCTATGATGACATAAGCAGGTCGCATTTTCGAGCGCTTTCTTGAAAGCCGTTGAGATGCAGTTAGTAGAATTTGGACCTCTACGTTGTTTATTTTAACGAAATCTTGTCTTTGTTGATCAAGATGTTCCGAAGGATTCTTGACTCGACAGGAATGAAGGGAGCACGCTTCAAAGCGTAATGTTTCTTATATATTGTGCCTCTAATATTATATGCTTCCTTTTCTCCTCCGCTTGACTTTTTGTTACGAAGGAAGTCTTGTATCCGATATTGTTATAGCACATTTTTTTTATGTCAAGAAGTATCTCATTCTCAGTTTTCACGAGCAATGAAATTATGGAAAAAGGAAGCGAACAACAAACGGCACAGGATAAGCGTTAAATTACATTTTCCAGTCGTTCGTCACGAATTAAAACAGAGAGAAAAATAGAAGTCTAAAGTTAACGATTACTCAAAATGCCACAGTATCTTCTCAACGAAAATAAAAGAATTTTCGCAATTGTTATGACAGAAACAGCATTCTTTCAATCTTTTATGAATAAAAATGTCATAAGCCATAAGATATAATGCGAAAGTTTTCTTTAGAATGATACAATTATTATATAAACGTTATCATACCAAATTAATTAAAATAGTTTTCACAAAAACCAAACAAGTCCAAAAGGTTAAATTTACAGAAAATAAAAAAAACCTTCTCATGTTTAAACTGTTCGTTGTATAAATATGGTAATTTTTCTCCGAACATGTAATAGGTATAAAAGGAAGTGTTAGACTTTAATTAATATTTTAAGTGAATCCATTAAAAAAATCTTTAGACTTGTTTGGATATTTTATATTTGTTATCTATTTACATTTTACATTAAATTTTACATCTAATTTTTATAATATTTTTAATAATGATAAAATAACAAAAATAATATTATTTAAAGTACACGGAGAAAATTTTCTCTTAGAATTTACTCTGAAAATCACAATAATCGTAGAACAACATGGTTTGAAGAATTTTATATGATTCTCTCTGACTTTATTAATAATCTCTAATTCCTGGAAGTTGTATGTGCTAAAATGTATATAATAGCAACTAATCTTATTATAACATTAAAATGTAATTTGTAAATTTTACAAAACGTCTTGTAAATATTTTGTATTAGAACATACAATTTTTTTATTGTTTATAAAACGTCTTTTGAATATATTAAACATTCCTATCATTATCAATAATATTTAGGTTGTCAAATTGTTCTACTTTTACAACATGATAAAATTTTCGATAAAATATAACAAAAATTTCCGTACAAGGCAAAAAATTTTTTTAAATATTTATTTGAAAAATTTTATAAACTCTTAACAAAAATATCCTTTGCAAATTGAACTTTTATTTTCCCGTTTTTTTTTTTTGCTAAAACATTTGACTCATGCTGAAACAAAATTGTTCACTATGTGACCGAGTACGCGACGTTACTAATAGAAAAAAATTTAATGTCATAATCCAGATTAAAAAAATAGATTATTTGGTTTTTATGGGAAATCCTTCAATTGTATCGTGACAATTTAAGACACAAGAGTATTTTTAATTTAGTATTTAGACTAAGTTTTATCCAAAAATTAGTTCATTACTCACAGTTATATACTAGAATCAAATGTAATTTAAATTAGTGACGTAGCTTAAATTCATCAATAGCAGAACTGTTTCTTGCGTGTTAAGTAACAATTGTTGGATATTATAATAGTGCCAGTGCTACGCTATGCTGTGTTATGTTATTGGTATAAAGCAAGAAACTTCAGTTATATGTGTTACGTTAATATTAACATTGTTGCAACCACCTCTTGAATATGCTAATTAACTGAAATGAGGCGTAACACACGGAGTTCTGTATGATATACGTAAGCTATATTAGCGTGAACAAAACATTTTAACAGATTGCCGATGGGTTATGAGATTTGCCGATCTAGGATAATGTAGAAATTTCCCTAGCCTGTTATTAGTGTGAAATGAGTAATTGCAACATGGGCGACCTACTTTCTGATATTAATCAGTAATTATTCAGCAATGTACAAATAAACATCATAGAGTTTTGTTATTAACAATTTACCTCAGTAATAAATAATCTAACGTTACCTTTATTGTTATATAATATTTCAATATACTTACTGGAAAACAATAATTTGCCCAATAACAGTTTATTCCTCAACTGTCAAAAATGTTTGAAAAAAATCACGAAAAATAAAGAAAGATTTCAAAAACTACCAACATGTAATTGTCATGTATGTGCAATCACACATTACTATTTACAGTATTTACCAAATTTAATAATAAAACAAACAAATTACTATTGGCTATCTAAAAATAAGTTATCTCTATTGTTCTAAAAACACGATTGTGTTTCACTTAAAATAAACAATACACAAAAATCCTTTTTGTAATTTTTTTTTTTGACAACTTGCAATATAAAAACAATAGAAAAAAAACTCACGTATTTTCCTTTTGGTCGCCGTTGGCAGAGTGCGACGGGGACGGCTGGGTCTGCTGTTTGGAGTAGGGATGGTGATGCACGTTGTTGTTATTATTGTTGTTATTATGCATGTGCACCTTGTTGGCGTTGCTGTCGGTAGGAGAGCCCGGCGAGATTTTACCCGCCAGAGCATTTAGCGACTGTAGCATTTTCATGGGAGTCCGTTTGGCAACCGGATGTCGGTGCCTCCTTCGCTCGGTTTCGTTTATCCTTGAGGAAGACAGGATTATTGTACGCTTGCGGTTTGAAGGCGTCAACCCTCAAACTCTACAGTACGTGCACGAACAAGCTACTTCTAGGGTCTCGGGCGAACTACGACCAGCACAGGACACTCTCGATTCACGAATCACGTTCGCGCTCAGAAACGAATTGAAATCTTAGCACGAGGAGCACACACTCATCACGTGGATTAAGCACACCAACAACACGAAAGCACGCGGAAAGACTAGTCCCGTTGAAGTCTTGTTCAATTCGTTCCAGCGGTGACTGATAGCGATCGATATCCGACCTTTCGTTTCGTATACTTTAGAATCCAGACGGATATTAGAGCGTCTTTTGAGATCCGTTGCAACACGATCCAGCTGTGGGTGCGAATACGAAACCCTGTGAACAAGTATCAATGATTGATAAGAATCATATCTACATCCACGGATAATTGTATGTAATTATATTATCGAAGTATGAATTAAATCACTCATTAAATTTAATCAATTTTATACCGCAAGTTTGCTTTCAATTTAAAATTCTTCCCGACTGACACAATACAATGTGCAATGTTACTAATACGAACTCATTGTTACAATAATAATTAAAAATATAATTAAATCATATCATGCATTTATTTTTGTTTCCACTTAATGTATTTTAATTCTCCGCATTATTTTTGAAGCCTCGTATTTAGAGATTGAATTAAAATTAATTTTTGATGAAATATATAATATTATTTTTTTATGCAAATCAAAAAATTCATGATCCATCTTTATTCCCACAATATCTGCTTCTTAGTTTAATCTAATCAAAAAATTTTATAATTATATACAAATATTTCAAAATAAAAATATATCCAGCCAGATGTACCAAAAAAAAGCAGAAATATACTTTCCTTCATTCATTAACTAAAATTCAATTGAAATTTTGTTTTATTAAACTACTGAATGTAACATATATAAATGTTAGAAATAATATAACTCATATAACACTTATTAGAATAATGCAACACGTCTGTTAATGAATATAATGTTCATAACAAATGTGTAAAAACTTCTGTCAATAAATGTAATATGTTCAACTACTTTTCTTAATAAGATCTTGGCATATTATCGATAGCAAACTTCGGCATTGTGATCCATTCATGCGGTAAAACATGGTAAAGACGAGGGAAACGCGGAGACAAACGTCGAACTAGAGAACACGGGACGACACCGTAAAGAAAAACTGGCTAAGCGGGCGCGTGCGTTGTAAACTGCTTTACAACGAGTCAATTAAAAGTTTAAGTTTAATTAGAAACTCGAGTCATGTGTGCGATGCGCAAGCGAGGATGGGAGAGGAGGCTGATTTCGTTGCCCGTTCACCGCCCAATTTTCGCCCTTCTCCTTTCTATCTCTCACTTTCTCGCCTTCGTAGTCGCCTCGCCTTTCCCATCTGCGTAATTCCCGAGTCCCAAATTACCGGTCCACGAACTCTCTTTTGTTTCGCGCACATCTCACAGCAGGTCAAGTCCTTAAAAGCTCGCCGCGCGGAAGAACGAAGAATGTGGAAGATACGCGCAATAGGAAGAAAGTGATGGAGCTCCAGCGGAACGATACGACGGCAGAATCCGTCGCCTGAGAATTCGAATTAGTTTCCGACTTGGCGCAAAAGAGCATTTACCGATTTCCCGTTGCAATATAGAACGAAACTCTATAGAAGGGAACGTCTTCAATTTTGGCAAAATCAAAGCGGGGAAACTATAAAGCGGAAAGATGGATGGGATTTAAAATATTTAAATGTGTCAAATATCAGGAGCGTGTTTTTTAGATTTTGCACGAACTATATATCGTATAGTTACTTTGACTACTCCATTTATAAATGATATTCGTAACTTTAACTCTTACCCTACAAATATGGGTCACTAGTGACCGAGCGATGATTCCTGTTCGTGCAAATTTCTTTGAGTCTTTCGGTAATTGTAAATTATACTACATTTAATTATTTTCCAAAATGAAGTTCCGATATTTATTTTAGAAAGTTGAAAGTATGTTGGTGAATTTTTAAAGATTTTTTTAATCATTCTGAATAGGTAAAAAAACGGATCTAGTGACCCTCGTTTGTGGATGAAGCACCAAATTGTATCTTGTACGATAAGGGTTAATATAATTAAGAAGAAAGATCTCAAATTTAATTTAAAAAATAGAAAATAAAAATTATACTTTATTTATTACTTATATACAATTTAAAGTCTACAATAAATTTAAGAAAAACATAAAATTCTAAATGTTATTGATCTGTGTCTGATTTATTGTTAGAAAAGACTGTTTGCGGTTTTGTAGGATTTTATCAAAAATAGATAATGTAATTTTTTATTTAATTGGGGCACTATATTTTTGCTGTTTTCTAGCTAAAATTTAATTAAAATTGAACTTTCAATCTCTAGCAAGTAAAACCATGCAAAAATACGACAAGAGAGCTATATATATAATATAAATTCACAACTTTTCTCAATCTATTAATCGTTTTAAATTCAACATTGCGAGCGATTCGGTGAAAGCATTTGTATGGTATTTATCATTAATTGTGAGATAAAAAAAATTTACCGTTGGTCACTAGTTGTATAAGCGAAAAAAGATTCAGAGTTAAAGTAATTTAAAGTAAAGGTTCGCGTTGGTTTTACTAGGTCTGTTCTTATAAAACCAAGAGAGAATTGAATAGGTACTTGCGAACCTGCCACTACGCAACGCGGAAGGAAGAAAAGTCGAGTCGACGCGATGGGTGTAAGAACTCACGGTGAAGAGATTTTAGCTTCTTGCGGATTACATTTGAAGGTCCGTCGAGGGCAAAAAGATGAGGGCGCAGAAATACGCTAGTTTAAAGGGAGCACGAAGTGGAGTAGTAAATTCGTGGTGACGAGGGATATAATTACCGGTACTACAGCGGTTGTCGAATGTCAAAGAGATCGCACATAATTTAACACATGAGGCGGAAGCTGTACAAAGAGCATGATGCGGTGGGCGGAGAAGATAGAGAGAATAGAGGCGAAACGGAGCACCGTTCGCGACTTGCGCCGTAAGCGACAGCGAAAAAGAGAAGAGAAGAGGAAAAAAAATGACAGGATGGAAGGAGAGCGGAGGACAAAGAAACCGTATCTTGATATGCTACACCTAAGCCTTTTGTCCTGTACACATTTTTGCCTCTCCAGTCCTCTACTCAACTCTCCCCTCACTTCTTCTCGCCCATGCTCTTCCGCGCCTTCAATGTACGTCGACGTTCTTTGTCGCCGCCCACTTAACGCGCTAAAGCGTCAAATTAAAAACTCGAGGCACCCTGGAAAACAACGATTAATCGCTCCCGAGGCAGTGATTGCCCGTTATCGTTCTTGCTCATCGTTGCGACTTTATAGCGCGTTTCCCTCGGTTTTTCTTCCACTGTGATCGACTTTCTGTACCTTTCGGACTCACGTGATACCACTGGACACCTGGCCCGGAAGCGACACTTTCAAGATACCTCCTTGGAGCTGTAGAATGATGCGTGAATCGCGAAATTACTGCGACCTGAGCGGCGCGACGATCTCATCGACGGCACCTGAGTACTACGACTGACGACTCGACGAGCGCAGTTGCCAACCATCATATCTCCGGATAAGCCTTATCGGTAACCAAAGACCCCACCCTTCGTCTGTGGAACGCATCCCTCGGGTGCCTCTTTTTTACAGCACTCGCGTATTTTTCTGCCACGTCGATAACGAACCTCACATTTGCAATCTTTTCGCTTACGTTATTCGCGTGTTGCGTTTTTTTTCCTTTTTATTAAGATGCACCCGAATCCACCTACGTCAGACACTATTAGACGTTGGACACGTGGTTCGAATCACCAGCTTATCCCGAATCGTCGACGTGGTGGTCTTTGGAATGGCATGTAATCGTTCATGCGCGATCCAGACGCGTCATGACGACGCTTGGCTTGTTTTGGATAGATGGATCGCGTTAAGGAACACGTTTCTCACGGAGTTCCACAATGATGATCATTTCTCTTCCGCGATATCACTTTTGATCCATGGAGAATGTGGAGTTGCGTCGATTTTACGACGTCGCCATGTCAATCGTCATCTGCAAAGAATGTTCACCAGTTAAGAATACTATTTTCTTATTTTAATCAAACGTCGTTGAAGTCGTCTGTTTGAAAATCGCAAAGTACATATAACTTTCGTACCTCAATTAAATTGAGATCATTAAAAATAAGAAATATATTTTTATTAATAGTGTATAAAAATATATTGTTGAGATTTTATTTCCTAAATATCCATAAAAAATTAAAAATTAAAAAGAATTTTTTAAAAAAAGATAAAGAGCTAACAGAAAGAATTCCGCCGATTTGAGAATAAATCAAATCGGAAGAAACGAGAATTTAACCCAATTAACATTTCTATGTACAATTATACATACATAAATTGTAAATTGTCAAAGCAAGACCAGATAATGGTCCTAAAATGTCTAAAAGTTATGTTAAGAGCAAAAGAATGTTCGTCAATATTTTCTCACTACCAGGCCAAAGCGATGAAGCAGACACCGACCGGCGTTCTTATAGAGATTAGATAAGACGTGGAACGCTTCACTGCAGTGACTTGCATAACGACACGGCGACGTAATTGCCTTGTGAAGATGCTGCCATCGAGGAAAGCAGCGCAGTGCATTCGTGGGTGCAACGGCACAAGAAATATTTGACGTTTATTGTATTATTGTATAAGTAAGTGTCCGACAATATGCGCGTCAAACTGCTAAAAGCAGCGAAAATATTTAGTGGACGTACAGCCTTACAGAGCCGTTGCCATAAATTATAACATTAGTGCTTTGACGATCGACTGAGCGACACTCGTTACGTGTCTTTCAAATTAAACTTCCGTAATCCAAGCAGCGTAAGATTTTGAAACAATGTCTGAGGTTATCGCGCAATATTATATAAGTGCGTCATGTGGTATAACATTTGACTGATAAATATAACAATCAATACTGTTGCAGCTCCACTAGATTGTATTGCGTAATACACAAGCATCGATAATAAAATTGCAAAAATTTTTTTCATCCTAAATTATAGTTATATGGATACAGAATATGAAACGTGATAATCTTTTTAATATTGATTTTTTGAAAAAATTAAATCGTAAAGATAAAATTAACTATATACCTAAAATAACTACATAATATTAATAATTAGTTGTAAAAATTTAAACAATTGTATAATGGAAAATTAGAATTTTCCGATTAAATCTATTATAATTCTGGTTGAGATATATAATAAAACTTTGATTGATATGATTGGAATCTTCTGATTCAGTTATTTTTAAGAAAAAATTTTTCTCAGTGCTAACTTCAAAAGTAATATAACATAAAAAAATTTCATTTTTAGCTTATTGCCATAAATGAGTTAAAAAAACATTACTCAATCAAATATCAAAAGAAAGCTAACCTCAACTTCATAAAAAATCGTCAAAATCCTCATAATTTAAGAAGCGTGATTTTTTAAAAATCATCAAAATTGTCACAAAAAGGCACTTTTTAAGAACTGTGGAATGAAAAGGACAAAAATGATATTTGATCACGTTATAAGAACACTTGGATATGATTTGAATAGTCAATAATTCTTTGTTAAATTAAAAATAATTTTCCCTTTTTTTACGAAATTTCATTTTTTGAATTGTGTCACGTTTAAAGCAAAGAAACGATATGTGTGCATGCGCGCGCGCGCGCGCGTGTGTGTGTGTGTAAGTATATAAAATTATTACTGCGTGGTTTTCCTTTTGATCTTCTTTATTTAATAATAAATAGCTTTTGAGAAAAACATAAACGAGATTATTTCAGATCGGAATTTGCAAGGCGAACTTTTCTGCATATTTTATAACTTTATTACGTCATTTGACAGGTATAAATAATAACAGATCGATGAGTAATATCAACAATCAAAGGTTCACAAAATAATGAAATGCGTTATAACAGAGCATTATTCAATATAGCAATTAAAAATTCGTTGCGATTGATATTGTGCTCGTTCGCATATATGATGTATTTTATTTCGAAATTATATTATAAAGAGGAATTGATAATTGTTATAAAGGAATTGTTGTCGAGCCGATAAATACAGTAAATACGAGTAAATTTATATATTTAATTATACAATATTTTCATCGAGACAAGCCCTCTGAAAGTTTCTGCAGGAATAGCCGTTATATTCTAGCGCCACAAGCTTCTGAAACGAGTTTCGGAAGCAAAATTTGTTCGCCGAAAGCAAAATAAAGCATTGTATTTCAACAACGAGAAGTTTTACGTCATACTTGAGTTGATGGAACGATTCGCTATTCCTTTGTGTAAAAACTTTTGTGACTAACTGTTAAAAGTAACATAAGAAGAATGATGGTAACAGTCAATTACAACGACAAAATTAATCAAATCAATGAAATTTGTAGAAGAAATATAATAGAAAAGCACTTAAATTGGATGTGAAAGTATGTGTAATTTAAAAATAAATACCAATAGAGCATGTAACTGTAATGTATCATAATAATATGATATGACTAGATGTACAGTTGAAATTATTACGAGTTTATCGATCGAGAGTTATTCTACGTAATATAGTGTAGAGACATATTTGAAACACGTTAGGCGTAAATAACTGGCAGATATAAGCAGATCTGTAAGCGAAGTGTACGCCTAGTTCTCGTCCGAAATAACAATGCAGGCGGTAGGATAGTATCGTTATTGCATAGCTAAGCAACCATCACTTGTTTGCCAGAGCGAAACAGTCCCGTTTGCGAACCGACAAAGAGGTATTGTTCTTTCGAGGGATCTCTCCAGCACGCTTGGTTCCTCTACTATTTACACGGCCTAACTCAACATCATATCCCAAAGTTCGCGCGGCTCTCCACGAATAACGTACTTCAGGACAGTCACGCTTCGCAAGAGCATCATATCTCTAATATGATTTATCTAATTTATCTATTTAGCTCAAACTTTATAGGTACAACAAACAACATTTATCAAAAGACAGTACTTACATTTGTATACGAAAGAACGACTTTGCTGAAGGATCTAAAAATTTAGCTACGTATTGTGTAGATCTAAAAATAAATTTTTTGAACCATCAAAATAATAGGGTAGGAAATTCAAACATAATGAGCAATGCTGCAAGAAGTTTTTACTTTCTACAATCGGTTTGAGTGTTCTACATAATTATTTTGATGGTCTAACAATATTATTTTCAAATGTATATATGTGGTTAAATTTTTTAACGATTTTAGCAAAATTATTCTTTGCGTGTAGTCACTAAATATGTAATAGAAAATATTAAATAATACAAAACGAAAAAAAAATTTCCGTCTTTTAATTTTAAAACTAAGTTTAAAGCAATTCAAAAGTTGTACTATCTTTCCTTAATTTTTCAGTTGTTATACATACAGAATACGTATATTGCTATTTAATCAAACATTCTTTTATAAGTACATATTTGCAAAAGAATGTTTGATTAAAATCCATAACTTATTATTAACGTTAAAATATATAACAGTCGGCATTAGCAGAAAATATGTCGATGCAATGAACATGACACACAATTCCTATAATATCAATTACACATATAAAATGATTGAAAAACATATTATAAAGATATTTTCATCATTATTTGAACACAAATCATCGTTAACTCTTTCAGCACCGACTTCAACAGAATCGAGTGCAGAAACAATGAAAGTACAAGAACTCGTGAGTCTGGCACCATTCACGAGAACTTTCCGCAGAGTGCCCTAAAGTCCAGCGAGTCCAGATAAGTTATCGTCCCAGTTGAATCTCGACAACAAATCTCTCGGGGGTAACAGCGTTTTATCCAACACGAAAACGGGACTGACCCACGAGCTTCTCGAAAGCAGAGGAATTTTCTGAAAGTCGTTTGCGAAAAGTACGATGGTTCAATAAGCATTTGACGACTCGACCTTACAGGATCAGTGATTTCACCGATTGTAGCAGAATTCTTACGAGAGAGACGCAATTTTTATACTATATAGTATACTATTCTATATAATATACTAAAAGTGATATAGTCTGATATAAAATCTAATATACAGAAAAATCTGTTCATACTTCACGATCCATAATTTTCGGTACCTATAATACATATTACTAAATTCTTGCGCTATCTATTTTGTAATTATTTATTATGTATAAAATACAGATATTATTAAAAAAAGTAAAATATTAATAAATATATTGCGTAATATTACTGTGAGGTTTAATCTAAATAAGATGTATCAGAACAATTATTAGAATAAAATTATATTACGATAAATTAATATTAGATAAATAATATTAAATTAAAATCGATAAAAGATAATAAACATCGAGTAGCGAAATGGTGTGTTATTCGAGAGAGCGAGCAGAGCATCAGAGCGTTGAATGGAACGAAGGCGTTCAGACACAAATTTTGGAGTCAGAGTTTAATTAAGTGTAATAAATATTTCTTTCGTCTCTCTCTCTCTCTCTCTCTCTCTCTCTCTCTCTCTCTCTCTCTCTCTCATACCGACTTGTTCCTTCAGTTTACCGGCTTCAACTCTACACATTACTATATTACCCACATAGCAAAGTTAATCTTAGGTATGTATCTAAAGAGATTTCTGAGTTTATCTTCTTAGAATCGTGGAATATTACTGGGATATATTGAAGCTATACATTCGCTTATCTATATGATATCCATAGAAGTCTAATGAGTAGATATCATTAGGATATATTTACATAACAAAATTTAATCTTACAACTATATTTAATGGATATCTCTAAATGTCTTTCGTAAACTAATTTAAATATCGTTGATAATATATTAAATATATAAAATATTACTATAAATAGTGGAACACAATAACATTATTATAGATTCTATCTAAAAAAATATTGAAAGAAAAGATAATTATGTTTTGACCATTTCTTTCTGACGCTTTAAAAAAAATTTAATTACAACTTATTTGATTAACTAAGTGTAGTTTCTATCCAGTTTCGACAGAAAACAATATTTTGTACGATGATAAGTTAAGTATAAAGCGTTATATTACACATCTCTAATTTGCTTCATA